GGGATTCCCCACTGCTATGAGCGCACAAGCCACCACTACACATTCAGACTTTGCCGAGACTTGGCGAAGGACTCGCATCGGTACGGCGAGGCTCTCTGGTACTATGCGCTTGCGCACCGGCCGGGAAAAGGTTCGCGAGGTGCTCAATTTGCTCATGTCCTACTCCCTGCTCCAGTCCACTGTGTTCCCCCCGACGAACGATCTTGACGACCATCTCCACCGACTTCTTACGGAGCGCTCGCAAACACTCGAGCAGTACGCCAAGCAAGACCTCGAGGCTGCGCAGCTTCTCGGCCGCATGCTCAGCGGTTACGCCACTCTCCGCAAGTTCTACGAGCTACGCGATACAGAAGGTCTCGCCAACATGTCTTCGTACAAGTCTCTGAACATTCGTCGACAGGCTGCCTCGGCCCTTGTGGCTGTCGTCGCCAGCTCTGATGACAATATCCGCGGTGGGCTCTACGACGAGTCAAGAGATGCGGTCGTCAGTGAGGATTTCCTCCTTGCCCTCCTTGGCGAGGCCCTTCCCTTCATCAACCAGGGTTCGTCTGAGGCCATCATCACTCTCGACCAGATACACACTCTTCTCAAAGCAGTCGAGGACATCGAGACAGTCTCACCGACAGTCTTCGACGCTGCCGACGAATACTTCAAGCTCGTTCTCGCTTCGGCCCAAGGACTCAAGGGCTCGTCCCCGCACGACCTCATGCGCAAGAGCACCGGCGGCCTTAGCGGCTCCAGCTCGTATGTCATGGATGGCAGCTCGATGCTCGCGAGCCAACTGCATCGCTCGGTCAGCGGTGGCAGCAGCGTCAAGTTTGGGAGCAACGTCCGGCGCGGCTGGGACTGGCGCAGCGGCCTCCTCGCCAGCGCGACGAGCAAGGATGTCCTGCGGATCTTACGTCTGGGGTTGTCGAAGAATTTGTCGAAACTGTGGCTTGCCGAGGCGGACAACGCGTCTGCGATTTAGAAGTGCGCGGATGAGCAATCTGAAGAGCCTCTTGTGGTTGAGAACAGAGGTTCGTTCATGTGTGAAACGACGACGATTGGATTGGGAGGACCGTTGATCTGAGCGACAATCAGAAGGGGGGACTTGCTTGCTTTGCTGTATCATATGACGGCTATGGGAGAGCAGACTTGATTGTCTAGAGCTGCTGTAGTTTATACCAAGGGACAGGGAAGGGAAATAAACGGATCACCAAAACGCACAAGCTTGCTTCTCCCCTTGTTTACTCGCACTCTCGCATCACACCTGTGTGGCTCTGTCCTCCCCTTTATCCTTTCACACCCGGCGCCGTCAGGCCATAAGCGGCCGGCCAAACAGACCGTGCACCTTGCTGTCAGTAGGTAGCTCGCCCGCACGCTCACTCGAGCCAGACCTCCCCCTCCAGCGCATCCCCCCATACCTGCGCCTCGCCGCGCCGCAGCTCCTGGGCGTCGATAATCTCCGACGCGCCAAAGTTCTGCCCGTACAGGTGCGGGTAGACGTCCGACCCAGCAGCCTCCCAGCGGAGGTTCCCCGCCGCGAAGCTCGCCAGGCGCAGCTTGAGGACCCAGAGCGACTGGTGCTCCCTTGAAGAAGAGGCCCGCTGTGACGGGGACCTGTGGGTGGGATGCGCGCACGCGCACACAGTCAGCCGGTAGCCTAGCGGGGGCGGGGGGGTAAAAAGTATTGGGGGCATGCATAAAACCCCGGAGCGGTAATAGAAAATAATGAAGATAACAGAGAACAAAGAAGACAATACGAAAGAGGATGTTTTTTTTTTCCCATACCTGGCGTGCCGTGCTGAGGTGGATGTAGCCGTCTTTGCGGTCAAGGTCAGAGAGGGGCCATTCTTGGGGGAGCGTGGGGGGAGGTGCCGAGGGGATGATCTTGTAGAGATATGTCGGCAGGGGGGAGGGGATGTCGGCAATGGACATGATGGGCTATCTGGGCAGGTTATCGTGCTACTTGATGTTTTTGGCAGGAAGATTGCGTTTGCCGCTTGTTTTGTTGCTGTAGTGGTGGTGGTAGTAGTAATGATGAGTGGTTAACCAAACCTGACGGGGAGTGAACATCAATACGCACCAATGACTCCACACTTGAAGGGCATACTGCTGGTCCTCAAGAGCAAGCAATCACCAACATCACAAAAAAAAAAACCATCAGCAAGATATGTTCAAACATGCTCTTATGTTACAAGTGACTTATTGCTACAAGAACTGAGCCCTGCGGTTTGGACCTTTGATTGCCATCACCTGACCCGACTCTTTTCGACACAGATTATCCATTGTCAGTCCTCCCTAGCCTCCAGGCAGTACTCAAGCGTCCCTCGTCGCCTGATATGAATTGATAGCAGAGGACACCGTAGCGATAGGCTGCATCGCAGACCTCGTTGCCGCCTTCGTCGTCCGAGCCTCGTCAGCAACCCAAATGTCCCTATCCTTGCGCACACCAAACCCCTCCCTCCCCAAAGAGAAATCAGGGCTGCTGCTTCCAAGACGATGACCAGACGCCATCGCCAAGAAGATATAAGCCGAAGCGAGCCTGCCAGTCCACGGTCTCGAGACCTGAACACCGAACCCGCCCTCCCCAACGCCACGTGTGATAGGATACCTAGACACGCTGGTAGAAGAGTAGGTATGCCACCTTGTTATCTTTCACGCTCTCCTTGACCTGTTTGCCACGAGACTGCGAGGCAGCTCCGTTAGCGACGGCGCTCCAGCGGTTCTTGTTTCCGTTGGTCTTGTCCACCGATGTCCACTCGCCACGATCACCGGCATCGTCATCGTTCATGGCGCCAAACCTGTTCGTCGAGACGTCGCGAGAACCTGAGGCCTGCGTCGTCGCCTTTGCAGGCTCCTCCTCACCAACCTCGGCCACGTCCTCGCTCCTGACTCGTCGAATGACTGTGTCGTCCAAGCGAATCCACTCATGCTCGTCTTGACGTCTTACATCTGCAGTGTAATGACCTCCGTTGGCATGCTTGCCATGATGGTACACAACGGCGATGAGCTTGTACTTGGGCCCCTCGCCTCCCTTGTTGCTGGCCCGCCACTGCCTGGCAAGAGCCTGCACGGGAATCTCGAGCTCGAGGGGATAGCCGACCTTCTTCCAGATCTTTGTGGTGCCGCCCTCAGCATCGAAATGGAAGCGCTTTAGGTGCAGGATGAGCACTGGAGGCAGTGTGTCGATCAGCGTCTGCTTGACAACAGTTGCGTTCTTTCCGTGGGGGGAGTTGAATCCAGAGCCCTCAAGCTTCTCATGCGCCGTCAGCCTCTTCAGAGCATCCACAACGTTTCTCACGTCGTTTGCCCCAATGTCAAGCTGTAGAGCCTGGTACGGTTCTGTCGTAATTGAGTCCTGCTTGCCAGTGACGCGCAATTCGGATCGCAACAAGCCGCCGAAGATCTGGGTGATAGGGGTCGACGAGCTGGCTCCGGACGAACGTGTCACAGCGGCACGCTGCTTGGCGCCAACTTCAAGCCAGCCGTCTGCCGTCGCGTCTGCGTTCGCCGATGCCGGCGCAGGATGAGGGGCGTTGCCAGAAGCGACGCCCATCACCTTAGCGCACTCATCATCAAGAGACTGCAGAAGAAGACCAAAGAACTCCTCGGCATCCTGCTGATGACCACGCTGCGAGTCGTCAATGAGCTGGCCATTTCAGGACGAGACGAATAGACTTACCCTCATATTTTCAAAACGCTTGTCGGGCTCGATGGCCTGGTAAATGAATTCAGGAGTAAATGAAGTTCCGTACTGTTCGAGCTCCTCGTTCTTCAGGAGCTTTCGAAGTTGGCCACCGAGTCGCCAGAGTGATCACCTGGAATCCCCTCATGAATAGGATCCTGCAACTCGTCAATATGAGACAGCCGTGACGAGGAACTCTTCAACTTACATTGCGTCCAGGATGGGTGTTTGGCTCTTGAAACTCAAAGGGACCTTTTCGCTGATTTGGTCCAGGAAGTCGTAGAAAGGCACGCAGAAAAGAAGAACTTGAAGGACCTGACTGTATTAGCACAGGCCATGATCACCCTTACCACTGGAAAGACCTACAGAATTCATGTAACACATGTTCCCGATATTGACCAAGCCCCTTGGCTCAACATACTTGACTTTCTCGGGGTTGCGAACACGGTATGCTCTCAGCGCCGCAGCAATTGTGTTCACGCTGTTGTCGGAAGGGAAGGTGGAGTCGAATGGCCTGTCCACATCGTCAGGAGAAGTGCCGTTAATCCCTTGACCGGCTGCGCCGTTCTGAGCGTTCCGGTTCTTGGCAGCTGCTGCGGCAGCAGCGTTTTTCGCGAACAGGGCACTCCAGCTTGACGGCGGTGCGCGTGGGGTAGACTTGCGAGCCTCCTCGCTCGGCTCCTGGGCTTTTTCCTCGGACGGGACATCAGCAGAAGGTGTCTCGCTCGGCGCGTCCTGGGCAGCGGGTTCTTTGGTAACCTCGGAGGACGCTTCGGCGCCTGTCGTGGTAGTCTTCGGGCTGCCTTTGGGAATGGCCGGAACAACGGGTACGACGGGACGTGACGACGAAGGGGCGGGGCTCTGCGAAGTAGAAGCGCCGGAGCCGCTTGTGACAGGCCTCGTGTTCTGAGTCGTGGTCTCCGTTGAGTTAGTATGAGATGTCGAAGCAGCATTGGCATGGGGAGTCGCAGGAGTCGAAGCCGCCGAAAGTGTGGATGCCGTGCCAGCTGATACCTGTGACTCGTCCGTGACGGCGGCATCTGTACAGACGTGATCGGCTGACTCGCTCAGGGGACCATTGCCATCGCTGGGGAGTGTGACTCCCTTGTCGGCCGAGACTAGGGGCGCTCGCTTGCGCCGCTTGACGCGCGTGTGTTTGGGGAAATCGAGATCGGGCCGGGAAAGCCATGGAAGCTACGGGGGTCATCAGAAGAGCTGCTCCGGATCACTAGGGCGTGCGTGGGTTATCAACATACCGGTGCTCGGAAGGGCTCCTTAGGCTCAGCGGGCTCGGGAGTGGGCTGTCGCACAGGAGGTGCAGGCGCGGCCGTTTCTGGCTGGACCAACTCCTCTTGGGCAGGGGCGAGCGCTCGCCCCTGTTCGATCTGGGATGTCGCGGGTGACGCGGAAGAGAGGGCAGACGCCTCTGCCATGATATGGGACGAGTGCGTCGAAGTGGGCGTGTGTGGCGCAATGGCAGAGGGCATGGGAGGAGGCTGGTAGGGAGTCGCGAGAGCAGGAGACTGCTGGTGCTGTCGAGGGTAAGGCTGAGGGACACTGACGCCAGCCATGGGGACAAACTGCTGCATAGCCGGAGGCGAGCGCATGTATGGCTGCTGGTAGTGCTGCATATAGGCAGTGGGCATGCCCCCGTTCTGGTACTGTGGCGGCAGCTGCTGGTAGAATTGCTGGCCGCCTGCATAGGGGTTCATGTAGTTGGGATACATGGGCGGGATGTGTTGGTGCTGCTGATGGTGTTGCTGATGATACTGCGGAACATAGGAGGGCGGCGGCGGCGGCCGCCTCCTCGAGTTTCCGTGTCCTCCATGCCCACCATGTCCGCCGTGAACAATGTGCGCGCCATGGCCAGGCACAGGGCCCATGTCGCCAGCACCGTTCACCGCTGGCGCTCCACCCCCCGGCATGGGTTGCCCAGCCGGCAGATGACGATGGCTCATCCTGCCGGCGTGGGAGTCGCGTATGGGCAGTGACTGTCCACCGCGAGGACCGTCACTGCTCGGTTCGGTCTCGCGCGCCGTTGATGAGAGAGATCAGACAAAGGTAGCAGTTCCCAAGAAGGCGCAATTCAGGTACTTGTCGAGCTGATGTTCGGGTGCCGTCGTGGATGGCCGCGATCGGATGTCGTCGTAGGAGGTGATTATTATGCAAGATGCCCCCCCAAAGCTGACGGGTCGTGCCGCGTGCCGCCTCTGATGCTGTTGCCAAAGCTCAGAAATGACTGTGGTCACCGCGATCACCGCCGATGAGGGAACTCAAAGTATTTTCTGAATAAAAGTACCGCACGAAGGGTAAAGGAAAGGGGGGGGGGGGTGTTGGCCGTGACAGACTGCTGCACGAGTGGGAGGGAGCAAGCGTGTCCGGGAGGGAACCGCGAGCTGGGTTGGCGGTCGAAAAATTACCGTTCGCCGGTTGGTTCAGAGCACCAGTGGAAGGAGAGTTGGAGAGCCGAGGATTAGTCAGACACGATGCGTCAGGACCCCAGAGTCGACTGTGACGCACGGACCCCTTGTTGCGTGAAGCTTCCAAGAGCCTTCTGTGACGGAGCTTCACCCCCAGCCCAGGCACTTATTACCAGGCAGGAGACAGCTGACCACACGGTATTGTCTAGCTGCGCTTTGCTTTTTTTACACTGACAACTTATCTCTGACGGCAATACCATTATGCTTAGCTAAGGTTCAAGGTTCGCCCAATCCATCCACTGTTGCTCCTTTGGCCGTCTGTTCGCTCGTCTCGTGGTCACCACTCATTCGTCTCGGAAAACCCACCGTCCCCCAGGTCTCATAGACTCCCTGTATCGATCCACAACCATCTGCCTCTGCCTCTTCTCTGCTTCTGCCTTCTCTGCTTCCACCTCCTGCGTGCTCGGAAACTCCGTGTTCCAGAATCCTGGAGGCGAAGCCCTTCGCGCGTACCTGTGACGGTGCTTGCCCATCTGCTCAGCCAGCTCCCATGTTTTTGCTTCTACCCACAATTCCTCCTTCTCCTCTTTGGACATGCTCCATATCCTGCTGATGCCATCGCCGAGAAACTTTTCAAACAACTTCGTATCCTCCGCGACATTCCTGTTTCCGCGCTGCGCTAAAGCCAGACCGCGGAACTGCTTGCCGCAGCACGACATGTCGGTACAGCCAGGCAAGCAAGCTCGGTCGTCTTTGCCGCGGATCACTTCGGAGAAGGCGTAGTCCTGCCCATTGTTGAACCTGGGGTTCACCTTGAAATCTTCCAGACGAAGATCTGCTGCCTGTTTCAAGCGCAGCGACCCTCGAACTTGGTCTTCCTGCCTTTTGTCCTCGGCTTGCTCCACATGTCGCTGAAGGTTGGTGGCAGCCGCTCTGTTGCTGTCTTCCTTGGAGGACCGACCTGCGCTCTCCCGTCCGAATGGCAGCTCCCGTCGCCCGGGTGCCCCGAGATGGGCAAGGGAAGTATCAGCCCCAGAACGCAGTGGCCGAGGAGCATAACGCTCGACTGTTGGCTTCTCCCCTGAGCCCGGCGTGTTTAGAAGCCTATTCAGACGACTACCACCTCGGGGGGTTTGTACCGAATCACGATTGGCCTGTTTCCGAACCGCTCTCTGATAAAGGTTGCCGTCCTCTGCCAAGGATCCTATTCCTTGTGTCAGCCCTTTGGTAGGAGCCTTGCCCGCAGACTTGGTTGCCAATGGTCTCATCGTGCGCGCATTGGGGTTGATGGGCGTCAATGCTGAGGAGGGCAAAACAGTCCTCGTCGCTCGTGATTCGCCATCATCCGGTCGTATCAGAACTCCATTGTTCAGCGTCCTCGATCCGCTGGCATGTCCGGGAGCAGCTACAAGAGCATCGACGAGGAACCTGTTCTTCCGCGGCGTGCTCAGTTTTCGTCCGACCTCATCAAGGTCAAGACTGTCTTGGTGCAGTACTAAGTTCTGACCTGAATCGGCAATAGAACTAGATCGCGAGAACTCGGTCTTGACACGACGCGAAGGCGGCTCCTCCGTTGTGGCCACGCTCTTTCGCTTTGCCACTGCTCGCTCCATCACAAGTATCGGACCGTCTGACGAAGGTTCGACTTTAATCTTCAAGGTCTTGACAGAATCAGCTGGGCGTGGCAAAGGCGGCAGCTCCACCTCAGCACAGATTGGAGCAAAGTTCAGGAATTCTTCTTCAGCGGGAGACGCCTTCGCGGAGGTCGTGGAGCGGGACAGTGGTGGGATTGCTCGGGCAACACTGAGCTCTCTTGAGCCCGTATCCACTCCAGGATCTGAAGAAAAGCTGACACTAGCGGTCGCATCGATAGGCGGAGCGCTGGGCGGTACATGACTGGAGGCTCTGGTGGTCAGTCTACTCGGCTCGAGAGCAAGCGCATCATCGCCGTCGTCGTCGTCGTCGTGGTGTATAGCCACGGCGGCCCTATGAACCTGGTGCTGTAACGCCTCGATCTTCGCTTCTAGCTGAGTGACGTGCCCTTCGCGACGGCTAAGCTCGTCCTTCTTCTTATTATATGCCGACATCAGCCGCCTGTAGTTCGAATCGAGGGCATCAAACTTCTTCTGCAATTGATGGCTCTTTACAAGCAGAGACCTTCTCGATTCCGAGGCTTCGATGGGCAGCTTTGATGGCGTGTCCGAAGTAGCTATGGGCGATTCGCTTCGCGGATTGGGCGTAATGCTTGCCATCGTGGGTCGAGGCGCGACATCTCTGGGAACTCTGCTGGCAGGTGTGAACTCTGTCTGATACTGCAGCAGGCTGGCACGAAGATGGCGGTTTTCTGCCTCAAGGCGATCGACAGTCGCGGAGCGCCGCTTCAGCAACTCGAGCTCTTCGTCGAGTCCATTCTTGCGCCTTCGTTCTTGCTCATTAAGCTCTGTAACAATCAGCATCAGCCAGTCGGAATTGAAAGCTGTGTGGTCGGGACCGCTCACCAGCCCGAAGATCCATATCGATCTGGTTACACGCAGCTGTCAAGGCCTCCAAAATGGCAGGACGGCCTTTCTCGAACCAGCTCGCCATGATTGCGCCTACCTCGTCGTGTTGGGCTGTCAGCAGGTCGTCCAACAAATCGAGGTGTGCTGCACACACCAGGCCTGAGGCGCGATGCACACACAATGGAGGGAGCTCTGACGCGTTGAGGCGAACCGTGGCGCGCCACATCACGTGTTTCATGGACACCCCACCCACCGTGACTGACAGCCTGTGACAGGTTCATCTCAGCCTCTCTCGGTGCGTTGCTGTAACAGAATCATCTCCAATTGTCACATCTTTCACTCTATCAACACGCAGCTTGGTTATGTCAATCTACCATTCGGCACACCAAAAGTCTTCTCTTTCGAATCAAGGCCTCTAAACCCTGACGTTGAAGCACGGTCAAGGTCTTCCAAGATCCTTCGAGGAGAGGCCGACAGGTGGCCCAGGTGCCCCACCAAGCGCACCCCGCGTTCACGGGCCCCTCACCAACCTGGGCAAAGACCGAGCCCAATAAATGCTGATGGGTCCTACGCGTGCCGCTAAGCCATTCACGAGACTACAGGGCTGCTTTCGACCAGGTGATGCTTTGCTTGGGAAATGCATTGGTGGTTATTCGTGATCGGGTAATGTCCATAGAGCACGTTTCGTACGATGGATCACAAGAGAACGGCGGTGCTAGCGGGTAAGGACCCTAGTTTTACCACTTGGCCGGGCTGGTTTCGTGTTCAGCCGCATGTCTCTGTCTGGGGTTTGGCCCTCGCAACCGTTAAAATGGCAGCGAAAAGTCAAAAGCCATATTCATCATGTGGAGGCTTCTCCGCCGTTGCCGATTGGTTCTTCAAGTCAATCGTGCCGATGGCAACATTTCGGACAGAGTCGACGCTGCTGGGAAGCTTGACTGATTATACCATTGACAGTAGCCACTGATTTTGATCAACATGATACGTGGCGCATGTGATCTGAAATAGCATGTCTACTAGTCTCTTTCCATAGTTGGTTGTAGAGTTCATCAGTAAAGGGTTGAGGGCTTCCCGAGCTCATGCTGCGACGCAGGCTGTCACTGGGTCTTCACTGGGTCTTCACCGCAAATGGCGGGGCAGACCAGTGTCGTGTTCTCGTACTGCCACTGTCTCTTGTGGCAAACTGGTGGCGGTTTGATGGGTCTTGGTGCAGAAGGGGGCGAAAACGGACAGTGTGAGGTCACACTTCTGCAAGGGACCAGCTGGGCTCCAGTCTGTTCATCCCAGTGCAAGCGAGAACGAGGGCTAGAGGAGCCCCTCGGCGATTTTGAGAACGCTGTACCGCGGCGCATCACACGGCGCGTGGACAAGGAAGGCGGGCTGCCCGCCCAGACCTGCCAGGATACCCCACTACAGACTAAATCTCTGTTTTTTTCCTACAAAGGACTGCCCGATCTCACTTTTCCCGCCCGACCACTTCATCTCCCGATCCTGTTGAACGTCTGAGAAGCAAGATACCCAAGAGTACGATCAATTCATCGAGTCGTTCTCTCCATCCTACACCCTCATACTCAACCTACCTGTAAGTGGACTTCTTGCTACCATGTTCCTGTCTCGTCACCTAGCCCCAGTATCCTTTGATACAGGCATTATCGATCAGATCTGATCAAGATCTCTTCTCTACGACACCCCCGCCAGTTTGTTCCTCTGCCCTCGCCCGCCTCACTACTACTACTGGAACATCCCAAAACGTTGCGTTCGCGGTCACGTACTGCATTGCGTTGGACAAGCACGTCGACATGCCTGGATCGCGGATACTGGCGTCCAGTGCACCTGCCCTGCCATGTCAGCCAATATTTTCTCCCACCCCACCAGGCAAGGCATGGGAAGCAGCCTCCAGGAATTGATCCACAAGGCGGTCTGAAGAGACTCAAGAAATTCCTGTCGCTTCACGCCGCACCTGCTGCCACTTCACCTGCTACTGCAGTCCTGTGCATGCAACTGCTTTCTCGCTCCTGCCACATTATTTCCGCTTGCCTATGCCATTTCTTCCTATCTCAGCCTCTTTCCTTGCCGCACCATCACCCACCACTTTTTTCTCTCTCCCACTAAAAACCATCATAACCCCCTCATAAACCATCTCGCCGTTCTTTGCTCAAGTCACGGGCATCGGGATTCCTCTCCACTTTCTTTCACAGTCACCAGCCACTCCTAAGTATGTCGGATGACGATCGCCTACATCTTTCCCACCTCTTTCGTTCATGTAGGGAAGCGTGCCGGATGCTGCCTGGTTCAAGTGATTCAAGCCGCGGACTGTTACAAAATCCCAACATGATCGCCTCCACAAAGACCTTTAGGCCAGAACAGTTGCTCGCTTGTATCCGACGCGAGTCAATATGCTGTCGTCACACGCTTTGGGTTCCCTCCTGCGGCTATCATTGTCTTGCTTGGCGACAATTATTCCTCAACAACGGCCGCTGACTTTGATCTCAGAATCAAACACCTCAACAATCTTCACAATGGATTACCAGGGTTCTGCTCCCGCTCCTCGCACCTGCTACACCTGTAAGTTCCAGCACGTTATAATTCCTGAAGAAGTTGTAGACACTAATGGTCCTTTCAGGCGGTGTCGTTGGCCACCAGGTATGACCACAGACGACCTTACGAACTGACATGATCATCCACTAACCTCTACAAGGCCCGCGAGTGCCCCCAGAAGGGTCCCGCTAAGTGGTGAGTCGCCTTCAACGACATTCCCGCTTTTAGTTGCTCACCATGAATAGCTACAACTGTGGCAACGAGGGCCACCTGAGCCGTGAGTGCCCTGACGGCCCTAAGGACAACAAGTCTTGCTACCGCTGCGGCCAGCCCGGCCACATCAGCCGTGACTGCCCCCAGTCCGGTGGCTCCATGGGTGGCGGCGGCGGCGGTGGCGGTGAGTGCTACAAGGTATGTTTTCTGTCTTGCTCACGACGCGACTCATCCGTGCTAACACGCTGTCCAGTGCGGTGAGCTCGGCCACATGGCCCGCCAGTGCCCCAAGGCCGGCGGTGGCTTCGGCGGCGGCTACGGCGGCGGTGCTGGCGGCTACTCTGGTGGCGGCGGCTACGGTGCTCCCAAGACCTGCTACTCGTGCGGCGGCTTCGGCCACATGTCTCGTAGGTTCGGTGCTTTCTTATCTATGAAAGTGTTCGCTGACCCAGGATAGGTGACTGCACCAACGGCTCCAAGTGCTACAACTGCGGCGAGAACGGCCATTTCTCTCGTGACTGCCCCAAGGGCGGTGAGGGTGGTGACAAGATCTGCTACAAGTGCCAGCAGCCCGGCCACATCCAGTCCCAGTGCCCTTCCGCTTAAGGGACTGAGACTTGTCGGTGAAGAGTCAACTTCTGTCCGGAATGGACGGCAAGAATGAATGCTCGCTGTGAAAGCCATTGCTATGGCTTCGCCGCGACACGGACTCGAGTTCTCCGACGAGCGCTGTTTGTTTTGACAGCTATGTATACTGGTCTTCCCCTCTTTCGACGACCACACGGCACACGGTAAACGATATCGGCACAAACGGAAAAGTTTTTCTTGTCTCAGAAAAGCATGAATCACGGACTTCTTTCTCACGCACAACATGATACCTCTCGCGCTCGATTACGATGCATCTTGGCTATCGGCCCAAGATGACCGAATCGTTGGATGATGATGGCACGAACGAAACGGGGACGCTTGCGGGTGGATCGTTTTCGAAACTCGCTTTCGATTCTGGTGGATTCGGACCTGGGCGGACATGGCGGTTGGGGGAGTGGCAGAGCTCGCTGCTGCTTTCTTGGCGGTGGATGATCCCAGACGGTGGTTCCCGTCAGGATCAAGACAGGGAATGCGAAGTCTGCGTTGCACAATTGTGATGTCGTTGTTGGTGATTGTCTCTGGTGATGCTGTACGTTGCAGGCGAGGTTCGCCTCGGTAAGCAAACCCCCCTCTTCCCTCGTCTGGGTGGATTTGTACGATGTGACGGCACTGATCATCCTCACAGCGGGGGTGTGGGAAGCACTGCTGCCGTTGATACCACCCTGGCTTACGTGGATCATTTTGTATGGTGTTCAGGTCAGCACGCGTGCCCGAGCATTGAACAGCCTCACAGAAATCGCCATGGTTCCCTCGCGACAAGAAGCCTTAACCTTGGGGCTGATGAAGCAACGAAATCACCACGACTCGAACACATCAACATTTCAGCCATGACAAGTTGTAACAAATTCGCTATGTGGCCATGGGCATGATCTACCCAACAATGTCTTGTACAGGATTTTCTCCGAGCCCTCAGCCAACACTTACAGCCTCTCCTTGGGCATGTGCCGCAAAGCCTGTCTCACACCCAAGTCGCCGAGCACCTCCTCGGCGCCTCCCAGGATGGCGTCGAACTTGACGCCCCTGTTGAAGCCCTCAATAATACGGCCCATACCGGTCCTTGTCAGGCCACGACCACCCCAGATCTGGACGGCCTCGTCGGCAATCTCATGGGCGGCGCGTGTTGTAGACATTTTGAGGAGACCGATGGGACCGCCGAGATGCTTGGATTGCTCCTTGTAGGGCATGTTGCACATCTGGTACGTGATGGTCTCGAGCCAGGACTGGTTGGCTTCGGTGAGGGCGATCATCTTGGCAAGCTTCTGCCTGATAACGGGCTGCTCGATGAGACGCTTGCCAAAAACGAGTCGCTGGTTAGCCCACTTGAGGGACTCCTCGACGACGAGCCTGCAGTTGCGGACCGTGGCGCCTATTCTTGGTCAGTATTCAAAAGACCACAGCTTAGGGGCAGGGGTTCCGCGGGTGCGACTCACTGGCCATGTTCCACCTCTCGTGGTTAAAGTTGCTCAGCACAACGTGGATGCCATTGTTCTCCGCGCCCAAAAGATTCTCAACAGGCACCTTCACGTCATCGTACGTGATGTATGCCGTGCCTGCTGTTGTGGAGTAGCTCGTCTTGATCTGCTTGGCCTCGACGCCGTCTCCGTGCTCGACCAACAAGACGCTCAGGCCCTTTTCGGTACGTACCGCGACCACAGAATAATCAGAGAAGACACCATTTGTAATCCACTTCTTCGTGCCGTTCACTATGTAGTGCTTGCCATCTGCCGTCTTCTTAGCTGTCGTACGGATACCAGCAACATCACTGCCAGCGAAGGCCTCTGTGATGGCCAGGCAAATCTTCTTCTTGCCGCTGAAGACCTCCTTGGAAATCCTGTCGCGAAGCTCGGGCTTGGCGAAGTTGAGCACAACAGTGAGACCAATGGTCATGCCGGCCATGTTACCGTCCTGGAAGCCACGGGCGCCTGTGCGGGACAGCTCCTGGCTGACAATCATGTCGTGAAAGTAGTCAAACTCCTTGCCGTCGACGACGCCCCCGAGCAGCTCGACGCCGTGAAGGTGGGGGCCGGGACCGAGACGCATGTGCAGGACGCCGGCGGCGGACATGCGGTCGATGAGGGCCTGGGAGATGTACTCGCCAGAGTCCTCGCACTCGCGGGCCTCGGGGGTGACGTAGCGGTCGGTGAACTCACGCATCGCGCGCTGCAGGCGGCGGTGGCTATCGTTGAAGTAGGGCGAGCGGAAGGCCGGGGTCAGCCAGAGGGGCTCGGCGTAGGGGACCTGGGAGAGTTCTCCGGGGCCGGGCTGGACGACCTGCGGGGCCTCGCCGGCGACGGTGCCGATGAGGAGGGTCTTGTCGTACTTTGTGAGGACTTCGTGGCGGTGCAGGTTGTAAAAGTCGGCCGTGGCATCCTTGCCGGCGACCTGGAGGAGGACGGCTGCGCCACCGGGGTGGGCATCAAGGAAGTCGGTCAGGTCGTAGACCTTGGAATCAATGATGGTCCACAGGGCGTCGCTGTGGTTGTTCTTGGCGACATCGTCGCGCGAGTAGGTTTCGGTGGGGGGTGAGGGAGCCATGTTTGACGGTGTTGTGTTTGGTTGGGACGGGGAGTTTGGAAGGAAGTTCAAACTGCGGCGAAGCTGCACAAGACGGAGAAACGCGGTAGGGACGCAAGAAACGGAAGTGATGGGTATTTAAAACGACCCAGGCCCTCGGCCGTGTTAGGTTTCGGGACTTCTGGACAGGGAGGACCGGCGAGGGCCGAGTCCGCGCGTGAGCGAGCCTCGGCATGTCTGGAGAATGGAGAGAGCACTGGCCATGCTGAGAATAAGGGATTGGTGATTGGATAAGCCCACCTGAGCACTCCACCGAAGCGGGCATGGGGCAAATAAGACAGCGGGCTCGCAAGTAGTTGCTTCACGTGGTGTGTGTTCGTGTGTGTGGAGGCTGGAACCAACGTACACCTCATGTAACGTTGGTAAACCTTCCGGCGGACGCATGGCACACTTGTACGCGTAGCACTGTCATGGTCGCGGCGTTCGAGAGGCTCATGGTGCGGTTGGCATGGTTTTTGAACACGCATCCGGAGCACATCGAATGCCTCATCAATCTGAGGTACCTACCTACCTGGGTAGGCACTGAAGGTCCTTAAGCACCCCGCAGCTAGCCGAGACCCCGCAGCCAGCCAGCCCTTTTGCGGTTTTGCGGGGGGTATTATCCGCTGGCCCTGGTTTCTCCAGTTCTTGGCAGCAGTGTGACCTCCTTCTCGACGCCCATGCCGTGGCTTGGCCAAACCAAGCAGGTCATGGTTGGTGATGTAGGCACCTCTGCTTCACAACCCTGTCCGATCTTTGCCCTGTCACAGAAACGCATCAAGAAACTTCGCCCATTCATTCGCCATACTACGTTGTAAGTGGGCGTTTTCTTCTTCTTTCAGGCCATTTGATCCATATGCCTTGTTCAGTGCCCAGTTGCATACCCATGGTTTTCGCATACGTTTTCGCATGCTTCACGATGACCGCGAATGAACCCTTTGACCACATGGACTCAGCGAGGAGTACCATAGGCCTTGATCACCCCGTTTCATGGCAGTGGACAATGGTCTGTAGGGTGGCTGACCCTCTGGTACTATGGCCACGTGCTGTGCCTGTTCCTTGCGGTTGGCATTGGTTCCAGTGCATCCAGTGCGTCAGCTGCTGGCTATCGGGCTCATTACTCCCATTGTGACCTAGAAACCTATCTCAGTCTTGTCAGAGATGCATGGCACCTCAGCCTGGTCACTCAGTGTGAGTAAGATTGTCATACCAGCAGGACGTACGTTGCAGGCATCACCCCCTTTTGGGCAATACGGCGTACTGAGTTCTCTCTCTGACAAGCCCTGTACTCCATCCTTCCTCTGTCCAGCCGGACGACCGTCAGTCGCCCCAGTTTGCGGAAGTTTGCGTATTCTGTGAGACCAGAATACCACGCCGGGCCCTTCTTCCTCTGCCTCGTGCATGCAAAACCACTGTATCACAGAACAGTTACGATCTCTCCCAAATCACCCTTGTATTACCAGAGATTAGAAAAAACACAACGCCAATTTGGATGCTTACTCCATGTCCTGCACCAGTACTACCTATCGCGCCTCGTCTGGGACTTTCCTGGATCTTTCACTCGCAAAGCCTCGTGAAAACCGACCATTCGCACGCTCTCCAACCGCTCGTCATGGGAAAATCAGGTGTCGTCAGTACTCTCAACCTCTGTATTCAAACAGCAGAACCATTGACTCGTAAAGAAGGCTCCATGCGAGGTGAACGAACCGAAGAAACCTCTTCACGTAGCCGTCATAGGTGCGGGACTCGCCGGTCTGCGATGCGCCGACGTCCTCCTGCAGCATGGATTCCGGGTCACGCTCATCGAAGGCCGAGACCGGCTTGGAGGCCGTGTCGCCCAGGAGCGGCTACCCAACGGCCACTTGGTCGATCTGGGCCCGAACTGGATCCATGGAACCGACGACAACCCCATACTTGATCTGGCCAAAGCTAGCGGCACAGCTGTCGGTACCTGGGATGAAAGCTCCCACATGTTTGACGAAAATGGAAACCTGTTTGCAAGGCAGGAGAGCCAGCGATATTCTTAAATCATGTGGAAGATAATTCAGGAGGCCTTTGAGCATTCCAATACACGCTGCCCTGACATTCCTGCTGAGGAAAGTCTTCTTGACTTCTTTCGTCGCAAACTTCCAGAACACATACCTGACGCGGAACCGGATCACCTCAAGGCCCGCACAATCGTGTTGCAGTTGGCCGAGTCCTGGGGCGCCTTCGTGGGTAGTCCGGTGTCCACCCAGAGTCTCAGGTTCTTCTGGCTCGAGGAGTGCATCGATGGCGGTGGGTACCAAAATGAAGAGCAGGAACATGACATTGCAAGACTGACCATCGCCACAGGAACCTTATTCTGCGCCGACACCTACCGTAAGATACTGAAAACGGTCGCGAGACCTGCCCAAGAGAAAGCGACTATCATGTTGGGCACCAAGATCACCAGGTTTGATATACGGACGTCGGGCAGCTCAAGGCCTCGGGTCCATACAGAGGAAGGCCAAACCCTAGAATTCGATGAAGTGGTCTGCACAGCTCCACTAGGGTGGCTGAAGAAGAACCTGGATGCCTTTCACCCCTTGCTACCAGATCGTCTCCAACAAAGTATTGCAGCCATAGGCTATGGGTGCTTGGAGAAAGTAAGTAGAACGGGGGTAGGCAGTAGACTCTCCCGCCTTGGAGCTGACACAATGGTAGGTGTATATTAGTTTTCCTCAGCCGTTCTGGTTGACCCCTGATAAGACCGGGCGTGTTATGCAAGGCTTCGGCCAGTGGCTCACCCCAAAGTATGCACTGGAGTCCAACCCGACACGTTGGAGCCAGGAGGCTGTTGAACTCGCTTCGCCAAGTCTTGGAACCTCGCATTCAACGCTCCTCTTCTACATCTTTGGAAACGAGTCTCGGTTCATCACGCAGCAGGTCGGTAGTTTGGAGACGAAGCAAACACGCGACGATTTCCTTCGGATCTTCTTCAAACCATACTACTCTCGATTGCCTCAGTATGACGAGTCGTCTGCAGATTGCTTACCGACTGCCTTCCTATCGACGGATTGGCTCCATGATGATCTCGCAGGGAACGGCAGCTACTGCAACTTCCAGACGGGCCTCGCGCGGGGTGACGACGATATTCGGGCCATGCGTGAGGGGCTTCCCGAAGCCGGTTTATGGCTTGCGGGGGAGCATACGGCGCCGTTTGTCGCCCTGGGCACAGCGACGGGGGCATACTGGAGTGGCGAGAATGTCGGGCGAAGAATAGCAAGGATGCACGGGCGAGACCCACGAGCGTAGAGAAACTGTCAAGGCAGCACCATAGGGGCTCATCGTACCCATCGAAGTTCGTTCCGTTTGTTTCGCCATGTAGAACAACAGGGAAACGCTAGAAATAAATTTCGGGATAAATGTCTGGTAAAGAGTCGTGTGGGTCATCTTTCGGTGGAGTGCTCTGTCGACTGTGTGGCGTTGGCCGAAGTCGCTTCTGGTGACATTGAGATAGGTACCTACCTAGGCACCTAGTACAGCTGCATGTAAGGCCCCATGCCAGGACCACTTGAGACCAACTTGGCTTGTAACCAAAGTCAGACAGGCATGGGCCCAGCCCCATATATGGTAGATAGTCAAGTGGTGTAGTGTTAGAATTGTTGTCAAGTGACTTCGAGACATGACTGGTAGCGGGCCAGGGGGAGACAGCATGAAGAGCGCGGCCAAGGGAGTCACGAGCTCATATGCTCCTACCGACTGACTGTCCTGAGTGTCTTGTGGGGCGCTACTTGGGTGGCAGGATGTCACCGTCACGGCCTAGCGACCCCCAGACACAGCACGGACCATGGGTCCTGAGGCCCTGGGGGTATCCGTCATTGTCCGGAGTTGCCTTTGGTCTCCTCGACCCAAACCCTCTCTACTACTCCTGCTCTACTCCTGAACCTATTGACATACCGGCCTCGCTTTTCTGCTACGCCGATGTAGCGATCGAGGGGAAAGAGCTGTGCCATTTGACGTCCATTTTCTCACTGACTCTGCGAAGACTTTGGGCCCCAAATGACGACGAGCACACCATGACCTGTGACCCCCGCTCTCGGCCGCGGGTCAACTGATAACAACACCACAGGCTGTTGCCACTGGGGCAGCTAAGGGATCCTGTGTCTGTCACGACAGCCTCGCTTTTTCCGCACGACCTACCGCCTCTGCTATCTGCCCTTCTGTTTAAGCTTTTGCCGCTCTTGCGGGTTGGCCTGAGGTGGCAACGACTGGGCTACAGCAACCTTGACGGCACCACATCGTCTAAGCTCAACCCCGCCAACACCCCGACCAAGAGATCTACCTACCTCTCTCCCTCCCTCCGGCACAGCCTTGTAGATCATCCGGAAAAGCCATCCACGTTGAAATATGGCGTCTTTCTTCCAGAGCTTCAGGAGCTCGACCATGCCGAAGCGGCTGCTGCGGTATGCCCTGTCGAAGCTCGAGCTTTTGGAAGAGGAGACGCTCGACATCGAGAACCTGGAGTTCGCCCTAGGCCGGAACACTGTCTTCGAGTTCAAAGATGTCGGCATGAGACTCAAGGTACGCACAACTCCTCGGGTCCCTCACCTCCGCCCATGGTGCAAGACTGACATGCTCGGCCTATAGAAACTCGAACGCCTGCTGAACCTCCCTCCCGCCTTCCGGCTCCAACGAGCCAAGGTTCTCAAGCTGACGGTGACCATTCCTATGGACTTCTACACGAGCCCAATAACCATCGAGGTCGACGGTGTCGACATCCGTCTCAGTGTTGTTGGAGGCGACGAAGATAAGAATAAAGAGAGGGCGGTCAGGAAGACGCGCGGCGGCCCGGACGTTGTGCCAGATACCCTTGATCTCGCAGCTTCGTTTCTCGAAACGCAACCACTGGCAGAGAAGAGGAAGCTCGAGGAAGCTCTGGCATCCGAGACCCAAGATCTTGGAGCGTCGGTTGCCACGGCGGATAGCTTCGCAAGCGAGGAAGACGAGCCAGGCTTTGGCACCGGCCAAGCACTCTCGCTCCCGTTTTTCCTGGCAGATTTCCTCCAAGGCATCATTGACCGCACTCAAATCCAGATTAGGGGCGTCATCTTCCAGCTCGATGTCGAAGTCCCTTCCGACGACAGCACATCCGCTTCTGATATCGTGGCGTTCCAGATCGCCCTCGATCAGATTGATGTCGAGGGAGTGACGGCGGAGCTTAGCAATAATCAGGACGATCCTCTGATCCAGCCCAAGGAGGGGAAACGCCATATCGCCCTGTCCCGCATACGAGCCTACCTCATCTCGGAAGCCAATGTGTTCTCGAGCTTCTCTCGGTCCCCATCGATGACATCGCCTGCCATTTCTCAAGCGCCATCTTTCTCCGAGCGCGCCACGCCGTCACCACCCCCGCCGTCGCTTCAGGCGACCGATCTGCGACACAGCAGTCACGTCGATAATTTGGCTATTCACCCCAGCATGCATCACAACGACGCGATGGAAGACTCCGTCGAGTTGAACGAAATTGACGAGGCTCTCTTACGTGACAGCGAGGATGCGCTGCAAATACCGTATGATTTGGCAGATGAGCCTGGACCAGAGGACGAGAATACACACACACCACGAGCCTCGATTTACGAAGATTTCCCGGGATCACATGCCGACAATTATAGTGCATCGAAGCCTAGCGACAACGCTCATGGCGTGGAATGGGGTGAGTGGTCGTCGGAGCCGCCGCCAGACTTGCTCGAGGAAGCGCTGTCAAGTCCACTCCAGAGCTCTCCTCATGTTCCAGCCGACGCGCAACAAAGAAGTGACAGTCCAACAGGACTAGCTGCGGCTGAGCCCTCGGAAGACGATGACCTGGCTAGGTCACAGCTCTTCACTCACGAGGAAGCCGAGAGTATGTACATGAGTGCGTTTTCACAGGCCGAGTCGAAGCAAATACCCTCCCAACAACTCCCATCATATTTGCCTGGTGACGCGGGGTTGAGCCCAGTGTCATCGCCGGGCTTGAAGAAAGATGAGCCTGACACCCGAGTCACACTGGAATATGATGGCGTCCATCCGCCTGATGCTACAGATAACACCCCTGGAACGTCCGAGTTGCTTACTGCATATGAAGCACCAATATCTGCACAACTGGAGGACGAGGAAATTCTCGAAATTACTGAGGATGAATCAGCTCCCGATCCTGCTGCCTTTTTCAGCGAACCATCACGTCTGGTGCAGGAAGATATTCCAACTCCGCGCGGCCCAACGAGACTGGTGAAGGAGATAGTTTCTCTTGCGCTCATCTCAATTTATGTGCCTTCAATGCACAAACATATACATGTACAGCCGGCCCCTCAAGTCGAACGTACAGCGTCACCAAGACTGGCACGATCTATTGCGCCGCAAGTGCCTGGGGCATTCTCGGTATACTCCACCTCTCCGAACATGGAGGCCAGTGAGGCACCGCAGACTCACACACCCAAGCCGCCTGAATCACACGCCGATGATTCTTTCGAGGTCAACCTGTCTCCAATTGCCGTGAGATTTGATGCTTCACTGGCTTTCCTGCTGGCTACCGTCGTCGGCAAGTTGTTAGAAGCTGTCCGTGGAGGACCAGCTCTCAGTCGAGTTGACGAGCCTCAGAAGGTGCAAGAAAAATCAACAAACAAATCCACCGTGAAAGTCGCCGTCGATAAAATATCTCTTGTGTTTCTTAACCAGTTAGGCAGGGTTGCGGACACTGCAGAACGAGTTCTTGGATCAGGGGATCTACATCTGCAACCGGAGACTCTTCTTCAAAGCGTCTTGGAAAGACTCTCCATCTCTATCGAAAGCTCTGGTTCGAAAACGGAGACGAGTATAGATCTCGAGAAATTTCGGCTGGGCTATGCTACCGACGACATCCTTTCGTTTGATCAGAGCCTGCAGATGCGTACATCTGTCATGGATAAATTTCCTTCTCCGGGGGCGGATGTCTCCTTGAAGCTCATCCAGACGCTTGACTCGATACGAACTGAAATTACTACCCTTCCTTTGCTTGTACAGCTCGACTTGCGGAGGCTGGATGAAACTTTCAGCTGGTTCGGAGGACTAAGCAGTTTCCTGCACATGAGCTCTTCCATGACAGCAAGTTCTTCGCCGTCCAGCAAAAGTCAGATCCAGTCGCCATCGAGGCCCAGAGGCGTTCATTTTGACACCCCTATCAACCCGGATGACAAGTCTGCTTCCTCTCTAAACAAGATTGACATGAGAGTTGGCGGCTTCAATCTTGAGCTCCGTGGCAAGGAATGCAGTGTTGGCCTTGAGACGAGCGCTATCAAGATGGTCAGTAGGGCATCCGGCATGGGTTTCGCCATCAGCAAAGCACGCCTCGCCGGCCCGTATCTGAAAAACAGTTGGCGTGATCCTCCGATCATGGTGACACTGGGAAGTCTTCGCTTCGACTACCAAAACTCGCCTACTGCCCAGGATCTGGAGCGGCTGCTTGAGCTTATTATACCGTCAAAGGCCAAGTTCGACCAAGGAGATAATGAGATCATGGTCGATACCCTGCTGAGACAGAGGCGAAAAGGCGCTGTTCTACGAATTAACTTGGAGCAATTCGACATCAAAGTCAGCCATTTGTTGCACCTTCAATGCCTGCCTGGCTTGGGCGAGGAACTGGCACGCCTGGCAATCGTTGCAAAATACCTACCAGAAGATAATAGGCCTGGTCTGTTGACATTAGGAAAGATCATGGACGCCCGCGCGAGTTTTGACCTTGGTGGTCAGGTTGGTCTCGTTACGGCCAACCTGAAAGAATTCGAAGCCGCACAGATAACTATCCCATCGCTGATAGCTTTCGGGATTGGATCAGTGTCGGTCAGGAGAAACGACAGCGAGGACCTCGTCAGTTCACCTAGGGCTGCTCAGCTAACAAGCCCTGTGCTCATG